CTACCGGTTCCCAGGCTGTCCCTTCTTCTGCAGGTAAGCGTAAGTCCTCTCGCCATCGTATGGATGCTCTGTCCAAGGGACAGGCGGTAGTAGAATCAAGGGTTCTACCTCTGTTCTGTGCTTCTGCTAGGAACGGGTTTTGGTTCATTGCATGGATAGGGATCGAAGGTGTTCCTTTCCTGTTGAACTCAATTTGCCCCGAATGCCCCATGCCCCATGCCCCATGCTACGACCACGATGGCTAAATCCCTGATCGGAGATAAATTTCCTATTCGATTGATTGAAGCCCCGATGCCTAGACTGTTGATTGAAGTGGAAGGCAAGAGATGTCGGGTCTATGTCCCTCTGTTTGATGCTCGCTTCCGGGAAGGCTTTCGGCTGTTTCCCTTGTCCTGGCTGACTGAAGGCAGGAAACCAGAACTGCGCAGACTTAGGGTCTCACCCTCGGTGTCGGCAGAATTCTTGACTCATTTGAACATGAAGTTGGGTAGAGAAGGGGAATTGGATTCCCCCTTTTTGAAGCGGTATTTAACTGAATGTTGGCCCTCCACTAATCTTGAAGGTGGCTCCCAAATCCAAATCCCTGGAGTAACTGCCCTTGATGGGCAGGCTTAGGGTGCCCACATGGAACATTCGTGGATTAGGGGATTCATCAGGCAGGAATAAGAAAGCCCGACTGAAAAGTTGGATGCATGATAATAGAATAGACATCCTATGTGTTCAGGAAAGTAAACTTGCAGAGGACAAGATAATGGGGTTAGGAACATGGTGGGATGGGCCACAGATTTGGTCGCCAGCGGTTGGGTCGAAAGGAGGTGTTGCTATCCTAATTCACAGGGACTTGAAGATGGAAATAATTGATTTCTGTGCTGATCTTTGGGGAAAATGGGTTCGGGTTAAGCTATGGGTCGAAAATCAGGAATGGGTAATTGCATCAATTTATGCCTCAACAGATAGGTCTGTACGTGCAAGGTTCTTTGAAGATCTTCCCCTGATTATTCCGAAGAGTGATCACCTCATTCTTGCCGGTGATTGGAATACGGCGATTGATAAACAGGCGGGAGTCCGTGGTGGTCGTGATGTGGTAGCCCTTACGGATCTCATGACGGATTTGGACCTAATCGAGCCCTACCCCTTGCTTCACCCCGCTAAGCCAGGGTATACTTGGTTTTCGAACGCCAGGGATGATGTTGGGACGATTTGCAGGAGATTAGATTTTTTTCTGTTTTCACCACCAGTTTGGCACGCCACTGTTCAGACTAAGGAATCTCAAAACCCTGTTTCTGATCATAAGCCTGTTGTCGCCTCCCTAAATGTCCAAAAATTGTAAAGAGGTTCTGGGTACTTCAGAGTTAATACTCAGATTCTGAAGGACCTCGGTGTGGTGGATTGGATGCGGAGGTTGCCGCAGTTACATCCCGCACAACACGAACACCAGAAGATCTGCCAATGCCGACGCTACATGTCCCGCTCTCGTACATCTCCCCCGACGCCCACCGGTACAAAGCGTACGCGACAATGTGGTCAGGCTGGAGGGGCTCCCTATAGAAAGTGACATGCCGTTGAAGGAAGGGAGACAGAGCTTCCGCAATCTCTCGGAACACACGTGGCGACATGCGCAGCTTGTCCTTGAAGTAGTCGGTCGTCACGTCATCGCATTGCCGCAGGCCCCCAGATCCTCCCACGTCTCCCCTGTCCGTTGCTTCATCCACCACCTGGGGGTCGCTCTGGGAAATGCTCCACACCCCATGGCGTAGCACACCTGCAGCACGGTACCGCAAATGGCACCAATATCGACGCCATCCACATTCATGGACTGCAGCGTCCTCCTCCGCCGTGGGCGAATGACCGCTCTCATCCTCCCCTCGTTCCTCTGCAATTGACATCGGAAGAGGATGGTGTTCAAGGCAGCTGCCACCGCCGTCCTCTCCGCCTTGCTCAGTGTGTCACGGCCCACCTCCCCGATCATGTCCATCGTCGAAACTGGTACTGTCGACATGGGCGTTGCCAAGTACAGAAGACTCCACGTGCGCCGGGGCGCACAACAACGATGGTGCGAGTGACGACCGGAGTGCATGGCGTCGACGTTGATGGCAAAGGTGCGCCTGCGAAGACGCCAACGATGGCGATTGTGTGATGGCGTGTCTGGTGCTTCGGACGTGTACATGTACGTTCGGCGTGCCTGCCGACACACAGCCACCACCCTGTACCCAAACTCTTCTGCCGAGGAACGTTGCTGCCGTCAACCGCAAGGGACGCCCACGCTGCCGTCAGTGGCTTGCTGAAATTCGACTGCGTGCCTTTTTGGTGGCCATTTTCTTTTTTTAACGTCGCCAACTTTCGAATTCGCGATGCCCACCCGAGCTGGACCAACGACGTCGGCACGGACACACCTTACTGGACCAACCTCGCCCCCCCCCCCGTGTCCACTTGTCGATATATGAAACTGGCCGCGGAAGCCCCCGAGGAATCATCCTCGGGGAACAATTCCGAGGATGAGTGGAACGACAGCGCAAATTTCCTCGGGCGACGATGGGAGAATTTCCTCGGGCCCCGAGGAAGGCCCGAGGAGTGCCGAACGAGCCCCTATAATCCAGCCTCTACAACAACCTGGGCTTTAGGAATTAAAAAAAATAAAAAATAGAAAAAAGTGTGCGAGTTCCTCTCGTTCCAGATGGTGGTCATGATGATGGCTCTGAAGGTCTCAGCCACGTAACAGGCTAAGTTGTCGCCTCTGTTGGCCACTGGCGGGATGCCCGATAGAATAAACTCATCTGTCCGGCTGAAGGACGACCACAGCAGATTCTACCAGTGTCTTCGCCACCAGGACCAGATGCACTTAGAGTAAGGACGGTCCAGCCAGAGATGACGATTGGTCTCCCATGCCCACTGACAGCGGGAGCACACTGTTGAGACTTCCATCCCTCTTCTAGCTAGGAAGGTTGCAGTGGGTATGATTAACATCGACTGTTGCCGCAGCGGACTCCCCAGTCTTTCAGAGGGCAGTTTCTTTTTTTTCTTTTAAGGGACAATGCCCCAATCTATTCGTGGGGAGCCGCACGTGCTGGGAACCGGGCCCAGCGTCCCATTCAAGATCACATTGAAAAAATGAGAAGTTTATGAAGAAATCGTGATATACCGGGGCAAAAAGACAACTGTGTAATCTACACAAGAACACTGAAATTCTGTGTCCCCCAAAGCTCGGATCAAAGAAGCATTCTGAACGAAAAAAGCACCTACCTTAGGGCCTTTCAGCAGCCCAACCCTACCTGCCTCACCCCTATATCCCGATGCCCAATCTCTACCAGGCCTCATGCCCCCAACTGCTAGGCTACAGAGTGGCACAACCCACCCCAGAAAACCCCCCAGGTGCTAGGCCACAGGGCAAAGCGACCCGCCCCGGCTCCGGCCAGCATCGACTAGGCACCAGCTCACCAAAAGACACTAGACAGAGGGCAGTTTCTTGAGGAGCTGCCAATGCTTTTCTTGTATTTCTTTGTTGTAGTCTGTCAGAGCTAGCTCCCGTCTGTGCTTGCTCACCACATCAAATGGGCAGCGTGGTGCCCGGTCTCTCAGCAGGCCGGTACCAATCTCGGATGTATAGCAGTGCATAGGGATAGCAGATTTCCCATGTTGAATTGCGGTAATCAATAGACATCTAGTGGGGTCCACTTTGAAGGATGAGAGTGCGGTTCCTCTGAATCTAGTTTTGGGATGAGCTACCCCGTGATAGCAGATTTCCCAAGTTTAGATCTACTCTACACTCCTCTAAGTCTGGTATTGCGGTCAAGTGTCCTCTGCGTCGAATCTAAGGGATAGTTCTTCAGTCCAACTGATCTCTGCTATCCAGGTCCGTAAAATCGGAGGATTTTGGCTACCGCCCTCGATCAGTCTATAATAGGTTCTGTTCAGTCCCTTGTCTCGAGGTCGATACCATTTGTTTGCGGCCGTGGTTTGATTTGCCTCCAGCATTGACTCGCAGTGGGGTGGGATCGCCTCTCAAAGGCTCTTGATACATGCCCAGTTGGGCAATGTATGTAAAGCTGAGGATCCGCAATGTGATAGAAAGGACTGAATGGACAATGCGATGTTAGTGGAATCTTAACAAGCAATGTACATCCAGATACATACAAAATGGCACGTTGTAGCGCCGTGGAAGACTTAGATATAATCCCTGACCTGACCGGGATTGACCTCTCTCACATAGTACAAGACAGCGCAGCGGAATGCTAGAATACCAATGACTAGCCCAATTAATGTCGCAATGCAGACCAAACAGACATCATCCTCATCACAAGGTGTGAAGGGGCCCTGGCGCTACACACAGGAAGAGTGCGCAAGGTCCAGACCATACACAGACGAAGAGGAGGGAATCAGACGAAGAAGAGGGGGAAGATGGGAATGTCGTCTACACCAAGTCTTCGGTACAAGTCCCAGATAATTCCTCGTCGAATGTCTGAAGCCCAATGTCGAGTCTGGACCAAATGTCACCAATCCCGCTCTCTCGTAGTCTGCTGATGCAGTGAAGCCAGGTAGCGAGAGGGTGAGAGGGAGATGGTGGACTGAGAAGAGGAAGAAGAAGAACTCTCTCTCTCTCTCTC